CTGTGCTGATTGTTCCGAACAGACGTACTCACTATTAAGGTGAACTGTGCTGATTGTTCCGAACAGACGTACTCACTATTAAGGTGAACTGTGCTGATTGCTCCGAACAGACGTACTCACTATTAAGTACAATTGTATTGATTACTTGGGATAGATATATTTGTTGTTAAGTTGAAGTGAATTGATTGCTGTAAAAACTATCTCCACTAGCAGTTCTTAATTTTCACTGCTAGACTGGAGAGAAGACAGCTAGTTAACTCCACCTACCGCCAACCTTTATGTGATCGACAAGTGGATTCAACCGGTATGTTTATTGCGCACCGAAGTCTCCAAACAGCAAAGCGCGTTTTTGCTGCAATGGGTCGTGAACCATGAATTCTCGTATTCACAGTCCGGGCCTGCTAATTACTCGGTTACTACTGACTAACCACAAAACTGTGTTGTACAAACCTGTACACTAAATATACTCAGTTGTGTGCTAGAAACTTATTGCTATTAATTGTATTAGTAACGTTAGAGAGGAAACTGTACGTGACAAGTATACATATAATTCACTATTCTCCTGTATCTAGCCCGAGATTTAGTACAGCTAATACAAGGCGACCAAGCTTATTTTGTACTAAATTAACAAGAGAGGGCGCTGTCGTACATCGTATTTTGGATTTCTCCCCTAGCCTTAAAAATGTACGGTTTTATATGCTAAATTAATTACGGTTAAGACAACTTCTCAGGTATGAACAAAATGTGGATCTTCCGTGTTGTCTTCAGTAAAACCAAAACTAAGTGTCATTTTACTTCCGAGTTGTCTTCAGTTAAGCCAAAACTAAGTGTCATTTTACTTCCGAGTTGTCTTCAGTTAAGCCAAAACTAAGTGTCATTTTACTTCCGAGTTGTCTTCAGTTAAGCCAAAACTAAGTGTCATTTTACTTCCGAGTTGTCTTCAGTTAAACCAAAACTATGTGTCATTTTATAAACTTTAATGGCCTGGCTGTTAGGGCGCTCGACGACCAATCTGCGAGTCGCGAGATCGAGACCTATTGCCAAACGTGCTCGCTCCTTTCAGTTGTGAGGACGTTATAATGTGATGGTCAATCCTACCATTCTTTAGTAAATAGTAGCCAAAGGGTTGGCGGTGGGTGGTGTTGACTAGCCGCCATCCTTCTAGTCTATCACTACAAAATTCAACAAGTAGTCAATTGTAGAAACTGAATTTATGTTTTAAATGCGTAAGTTTTGGGAACGTGTCTTTAGTAAGAACAGTTTAGTTGATATTAGCCATTACAAAACATTTGAAGCCGTTAGTAAAATACAAATTTAACACAGTTGGTATGCTTAAAGAGTATATATATGTTAAATAACAATAAAAGTTGACAGTTAAGAGAAGTCGACACTCAGTAAATGCACTAGAGTTGTAACAAAGACGAACATTAGTGGTTTGTGTTAGGCGATAGAAAACTATTGAAATAAGTAAACAAACCGTAGCTTTTTTTGTTGATGGTATTTTAGAGCGGAATGAGAATTTTCAACTTGAGCGGCACCTTATATGCAAGAAGCTAAACCGCCAGGCCAGAGACCCCTAACGTTCAGGTACAGCTGTCCTTAATTTTAAATTACCGACAAGATGAAAGGCAGCTAGCCAAGCAGCACCCATCATCGTTACGATGGATATGTCCAGCTCTCTGAACTAATAATAAAGCTGAAAGTGAGGAACAAGGGATCCTCCGACCCACATTCCGACGCGATAACCACGAGGACTGCTGAGATTCCGGCAACAAAAACTTGTATATCGCACAAAGATTTGTTTTAAAAGTCCTAAACCTAAAAAGGAGATTTACAAAATTGTACAGTGCTGATTTTTTTTTTATAAGTAAATGTTTATCAAAAAGCTTATATATGTTTGACCAATGTTTTAACAACATATTTACTGAATCCAAGTAACATGTATAGTTACACTAACTAAAACAACGACTATTCTGAAAACAATCACTTTCAAGGGTACTTAAGGTCCAAACATACACATAAATATGGTTTTCTTGTTTGCTGATACTGGCCATCACTTTAATAGAGAGACTGAATTACTAATGAAGAATCCATAGAAGTTAGAGAGTGTGTGTGTGTGTTTTTTTTTCTTACAGCAAAGGCACCTCGGGCTATCGGCTGTGTCCACCGAGGAAAATCGAACCCCTGATTTTAGCGTTATAAATCCGAATACTTACCGTTTTACCACAAGGGGACTAGAAGTTAGAAGCAAAATTAATCAATTAAATAATAAAGAACGTAAGATCACAATCCACTTAGGAAGTAGCCGCACTCAATCCATCAAAATAGAAAAAAAAAATTTAGATTTGTAAGAAAACAATTTAAGTAATTTGATGAATAGTTTTATAATAAAAGTAAATTTGTAATTTCAAGGATAAAAGTGAGATAGTTTTATGATTAAAGTAAAACATCAACTAAAAGCGGGTGATAAAAACAAAACATGTTGAAACATTTAATGAAAAAAGTTTTGAAACATGGTTTTTGAAGTTCCCTCCAGACAAAGAAAGTCAATAAAATACAAATTGGAATGACTGTTTATTTAATGTTCATTACAGTGTTTCGAATTGGTTTCTAATATAACTTTGCTTTTTTATATGTTGATATATTTATATATATTTTCTTTTATATTTGAAAAACTTAAAAAAACGCCTTATGTTGCCGTTGTCTTGCTAAAAGCTGGAAAGGTTATTCAAAATTTCTAAATTTTTTAACACTAGCTTTCACATTTACATGGCATATTTTTGTTGTTTCAGCATAGTTGGCCTCTGAAAAAGAAGGAACTTATGATAACAGCTAATTAAAATAAATAGCCAGAATCTATAAAATGTTTAAAAAAAATACAACTTCGATATATGGGGAAACAAAAAACACAGCACGATGAATGGTTCGCGAAAAAAAATTACCGACTTCGATATCTGGGGAAACAAAAAACACAGCACGATGAATGGTTCGCAAAAAAAAATTACCAACTTCGATATCTGGGGAAACAAAAAACACAGCACGATGAATGGTTCGCATGATTCGTAAAACAAACGACAAAGACCAATAAAGAAGGCCGCAAAATTTCAAATAAATTAACGAAGATGATGGCGTTTACGTTGAACTTTTTCTTTAGGAACTGCCCAAGACGTCATTATACAAACTTTAATCTTGCACAAAACACCTGAAACGAAAGTGTCAACATTAGAAAAGTGATAAACAAAACTTATAACTACTTTCGATCTAACGCAGTATATACAAGAAATTATCAATAACTTCTGATTGAAAAAAACTAATTGAATTAAATAACGAATGTAACTGATATTATAAAACAAACTACAAAAAAACAAAAGCTTATTATGTTTAGAATGCATTGATTCATCAGTTAGGTACCCTAACTTAGATATTTTTAATGTTTTCGGCCATAATCCCAATAACACCTTACATAGTTCGGCTAATTTAGGAGATCTTGTGTAGTCCTAAATTCATATACTAAGTTAACTATGCAAAATAATTTTCGTAAGTGTGAAAATATATATAGATGTGTATATTTACATATATCAAACCATGTAACCAATATCATCAATAAAACCGACATATACATTGATGAAAACGAAATAACTAGAAACACTTAATTTTATAGATCACCAAGCGATAAAACGAAAACCTACAACTGAATTGGATGCTGAAATCCTATAAATATCTCGGGAGAATTTGCCAGTTTAGTAGTTGTAGATTAGGGTTATTCCTAAATTTACACACCAAGTCAACAATGGCTTATTTAGCTAGTTCAAAATATTAGGAAACAATGAAACAATTATAAAATTCGATGAATAATGATAATTGGAGGGATCTCTATCCACAGCACATAAAGGTATTGTATATGTTGTTGGTTTGTTTTCAGATTTATTGCGCAAAGATGTACAAGGTGTATGTGCGCATAGCAGTCTCTAATTTTCATCTTATACCCTAGAACAATTCAGCCGAGCTGTTTGACTGCTGTTTAACCTTCTCTGTGTCTGTATAACTTCAACAGAACCCACCACCAACTCTTGGCCTACTATTGTCTGATTGAATAGTGGGATTTGAGTTACTAATAGAGCGCATCCATGTCCCCAAAGTGGGGTCCCAAACCACGAACCCTCGAAATCACAATCTGAGTACGCAAACCACTTGGCCATACTGCTGAAATAATAATAAAAACGGAATTATTTTCCCCATCTGCACAGTAGCCATCTTGAACTTGTTCTATAGTTCTATAACTTAGACTGTTTGTTTGAAATTAAGCACAAAGCTACACAATGGGCTATCTGTGCTCTGCCCACCACGGGTATCGAAACCAGGATTCTAGCGTTGTAAATCCGCAGACATACCGCTCAAGTGAACGCTTTTAGAACTATATGATTCTTCACTATTTTCAAACACTATACACATATATATATAGAAAAAGAGAGAGAGAGAGATACATATAACACATAATGAAGTTAATGGACACGGAGTAACATAGCCTTTTAAGCAAAATATCAGTTAATTTTGAAAGAAAATTCCAGTTCTTATCTGTTGAAAAATGCAAGGAAGCCACATTTTTTATAATTGTTCAAAACCTTTACTTACAGGCTATAAACAAAAATAATACCGAAATAAACATAAAGTTGAAGGAAGATGATTTCGAAAAGACAGAAAAACTAAGAAACTTTTTAATTATTCATTAAAAAAAAAACGGAGAGCAATCCCATTTTGAATAATTTTCAATATTTCGATACTCAGTGTTGCTTCTGTTTTGGAACAGGAAATATTAAATAGAAAATACATTTTTCTCTGTATTTGTAGAAACTTGTAATGTGTTCCGGTTTTGTTTGTTATTAAATATAAAGAATGGGCTGTCTGTGTTGCCTGCTCACCGAAATCCGATGTTTAGCGTTATAAAATATTAGATTTACTGTTGAGCCACCAGGAAACTGTAGTGGAAGGAACAACGATTAATAGAGTAGATCTTTTAGAAACACAAGTTTTCGAATGTTTAGATTACCAAACTTTGCAAGCAAAAACCTTTTGACTCAATTTAATAAATATATAAAGATATCTACAAAGTTATACTTTTCAGCGAAATTTGTTTGTTTTCTGTAGACAAATTCTGCTTTCTCCAAAATCGCAAGACTTCAAAAATCCTTGAACAAACTGATTTCGTAACATGATCTATTTTCAGTTTCATACAATAAAATATGTTTAGTGAAAATAAATTACCTCTCTTAATGTTATGGATTTTCGTTTTCAGTTTTTTAATCATTTTCTTTTTGTGGTTTTTATTTTCCATTCTTCTCAACAAAAACTTGAACAGATGAAACTCGTTTAGAGGTACCAAAAGCTTGGGGATTAGCCTAGAGTTTCTCTGAAAAAAAAAAGCAGTGGATGTATAAAAAAAAAATATATTTACATACATGGTCTTAGCTATTAATCTTTTGAATGTTAATATCTATTGTTAACTCCTGTTTCTAGGACAGTCTCTATTGTTAATCCCTGATTCGGAAATAATCTCTGTCCTAGAAACAGGAGTTAACAATAGTCTATATTGTTAATCCCAGTTTCGGGAATAATCTCTGTCCTAGAAACAGGAGTTAACAATAGTCTATATTGTT